CCCCAGGCAAATCGTTTGCCAAAAAAAAAGGGAGAAAATGCAAGAAAAGGGCAAAGAAAATGGCCAACCATCGAGTAAGGGGGGAGGAAGGGGTCTCCGGTCCTGCCAGCGGACAAGCAAATGCACAAAAGCTAAAGTCAAATGGACATTGGATAAATAACTACTGAGTTATGGGTGGTGGATCCTTGAGCAGGGACAGGAACTGGTCGGCATCCAGTGACAGAGAAAGAGAGCAAGAGATTCGGAATATCTTCATGTAGCAATCAGCTGGCAGGCCATGGAATGGCTGGCAAAGGATATAGCATGTGCCAGGGATAGAGCATGGGGCTGGGGAGCAGCAGCAGCAGCAGCAGCAACGAGGAGCAATGCCATTGAATCAAATTTTGCAAATCCTCTACGACAAAAGACGAGAGACGCGACGCTGATGCAGTAGCATCAGGAGAAGGAGAAATCCTGCGACCAAGAGCCCAGTAGTCGTCACAGTCTCTCGATAGTGCGACGTCCAAATGGAGGTGGGGATGCAGAGTGGTGTCTGGGGTAGTGGTTGCCCCATAAAGAACTGATTCAGAGAAGCTGTAGCCCGGGAGATTGGGAGCTTGCGGTCCTCTCGCCATAGCCATGGCCCGCAGTCAATAGGCCAAGGGTGTTATCTATGCGTCAACGGGTGGTTAAGATTTTTTGTCGTATTCAATTTCGTTGTTTATGGCTCCTCCTTTTTTCTGAGAGAGCCAGAGACTGCAGGCACCAGAGGCACGTGTCAGAGGGTGCCTGCTGCATGATGGAGATGTTACTGTTTTTTTTTTTTTGGAAGAGATTTCCTCTAGAGGTACTTGTGTGGTACTCCGCAAGTAGAGGCATCGAATGTCAACGAAAGTTGTGTAAAATCGGCCTATTCTTGACCATTCGAAACAAGGGCTTAACAACGTTCTGATTTGATTGATTAACAGATGGCTACATATGCCCATGAATGCTTCCATTTACATCAGATATTTGTATATAACCCACGAATGTTAGGGGCTGAAAGCCCCCGCAAGACAGGAGCTCTGCAGATACAGGCATTATACAGATACGAGAAACTTGTCAATCAGAAAGTTGCAGTATTACCAGACAGGAGATGCCGAAACTCTTCAGAACAGTCTTCAATGGTTTTAGAAACCGCAAAATTATTTGGAAATCTGTGGCCAAAAGAGCATCGCATCTTCGTGGCCAAATGCCACATCCTTCATTCACTTCTTTGAGTCTTTTTTGGCTGGCATCTCCGTCAGCGAAAGCTTTTGGCATCGTGGGCGTCTTTTGTACGTCAGATGCGGATGTGGACACGGATCTAAATGCGGATGTGGGATGCGGACACGCGGCATCGGCATTACAAAATAGCTTCAAGACTATTTGTAATTTGCATTCATTGACGCCGCTTCTCTGCTTTTTATCGCCTGCCACAAGTTGCAAGTGTGCTATCTGTGTGGCAGTTCGGTAGTGTCCTGCCTCTGTGTCTGTGTTTGTGTCTGTGTGGGAGGATGTGACGTATGTCGGCTGGAAACAAAGTCTGAAATCCTCCGCCCACCCACAAAGGGTGTGTGGCACTGTGGCATATGTATGTGTCAACAGGCCACAATGCCCTGCCGCCTCTCAAAAAGTGAAAGAGAGCGCCGGGGGGAGTGAAGAGTTGTCCGGCAGCGTCGCCTCCTCTCTGTCCTCCCTGTCTCCTGCCACACCCAAAGCGAAGGGGAAGAGGAAGTGTGGCATGTGTTAGTGTGTGTGTGTAGGCGGCGGATGATTGCCGTGCGTGTGCGATGGATGTTCGTGCCATTTCCGTCTTTGCCACGTACCTTCATCAAGTTGTCATTCAATTTTTAAATCCATGGCAAGTTTTGTACTTACGTAGTAGTTGTGACAACTTGACAAAAACTAAGGAAGCCATCGCCAGCCGCCCGCCGCCTGTCCTCCTCGCTCCTCGTCTCTCCTGTTTCCTCCTCATTCGGAACTTGCCACACAAGAGCAAGTTTTTCCTGCCAGGAAGAGCAGCGCAGGAGAAAGACAGAGGGAAGGAGATCTTTAACAAGAGTCCACATGTAGGACCGGGAAATCGCTTCATTTCCACACTCTGCATAGCCTGAATGATTCTTTAAAAGTTAATTAAAGTTTATGCAAAAAATAGATGACTTATTGATGCATTAACATTTAATTGACAACATTGCCAGGGCAATTAGCTTTTGCCTTTTTTATACCAGGTACTCAACGCGCATAGGAGTATATTCGATTTTTGGTGGAAGTAGATATGTGTAACGCCCGGAAGGAAGCGTTTCCGACCCCCTAAAGCGGCATATCTGAGCTCCTAAATCTAAGAGACTACTAGAGCTAGTGCAACCAATTTTTGTATGGCACTGTTACAAGTGCATTTCGAAATTTCGCCCTGTTTCCAAACGACGGAAATCTGTGGCGACCACAATTTTGATGATACGAGAAACACAACAAACGCAGAGTCGTAGTCAAAGAGCATATCTAACAGGTTCCCAAATCTGGATCAAATCGGATCCTTATTATAGCCAGAAGGAACAAATGAAATTCAGTGGCTACTCAAAGCCTCACACGCGCTTACTCATTACACACTTCCTTGCGCAGTGTGCGCCCTCTTGCGGAGAAAAGCGAGATAGCAACACACATACTGACTGGATTTAGGATATAAATGTAGCTAGGGCCGCGACTCACAACGTTCCCGCTCGTTATAAATATTGTTTTTTTTTTAAATCACACAAAACTGCGCTTTAATGCAACTCTCAAATTCGTAAATCGGCAAACTAAATTTGTAAATATGTCTACAGCATGAGGAAGTATATTTATGTAAAGCAATCAAGGAGCTAGTTGTTCAACTTGTAGTTCACTACGGTCTCCACCTTGTGGAGGCCCGTCGAGAAGGAGCGCAGCTGAACCGACTGCGCATTCTGGATATCAAATACTTCCGACTCGTCCCATTTGGCGGGGATCTCGGTGCTCCCCGGCGTGTGGATCTTCAGGTCGAAGGCGCAGATGCAGTCCAGCAGCGGCAAGTAGCTGACTGAGGCCGAAATCTGGCGCATTACTTCGCGAATCTCGTTCTGAATGCGAGTCAGATCCTTGCTGGACGTCCTTTGGGAGGGATCGGCGACCTGGTTGTCCCCCTTCTCGGCCTCCATTTTGAATTCCCAGCACTCGAGCACCTCCTTGCTATGGGCATTCGTAATGACCATTGAGACTTTTCTGATCATATTCTTGGAGAGCCACTCTTCGGTCTGGCTGAGGACGTTCTGGAGGAACGTGGTAATCCTTGGGTCCTTGGACATTAGAATGGTCAAGCCATATTGTTGGGTGGCCTCGAACTTATCTGCCGGGTAAACTCCACGTTGGAACAAAATCGAATGGATTCCGTACTTTAAGTAGTCCACGATAAGCTGTGCGGATCCCTTCAACGTAATGCAGTTTTTGGTTGCTTGGGCAGACGACATCTTCAAAAAATCAAATAAAAATTTCTTTAAAAAGAAATGAAATTTAAATTTTACACTAAAATTCCACGACAGTTCAATACACGTTAGGTATGATATATCAATAAATAAATAAAAGCTGACGCAGTCCGATTATGTTATCGATAAATAGCAGAAGATTTTAAACTAAATTGTGCGCTTAACAAAAAACATGGAAGTGAGAAGTGTTAAGTGTGAGAGGGGAAACAGAGATAGATATATGGAGCATGTTGTATATTGTATACGTATATCCGTAACATAACCCCACTCGCAACAAGTAAACGAGTCGTATTGAGCAAAATAAGACCCGACAAGAGTGCTGGACCACCTTGCATAATTTCATCATGCTCTAGCAGGTTAAGATCAGTGGTGAGTAGACTTTCTAAATTTGGGAACAGCCCAAAAAGCAGTGGAGTAGCAACATGCACACGCAATGTAATTGCTTTTTCTCGATTCTCATTCTCTTTGCGATCATTCGCTAGTGCGTCTCAGTGCCACAAAAATTCTCGTAATATCCTCAAGTTTAGAATCATAGAAACAGCGTTAAAATAACCATTAAATAATCATTGTTTCCCCCAAACAGACACCTTCTTGCGGCAGAACGTAATCCTTGCGCTGTTATTCCCGGAACCCTTTGATAGTAGGTGACTGGAGCACGACTCCTCCATTTATGCCCCCCTGCCGCTACTCATGGCTTACCATTATGGTTACTTGTTGCCATGGCTTGGCTTTTGCCCACCCCCGGCTCTCCGGCCACACTTTTGCAGCTCATCCTGTCTGGCATTCATCAGGATTCTGCTGCTTGTCCTTCGTCCTTTGCCTTTTCCCTTCGATTCCGTGTTCGTTTGCCGCATTAATCCCCCCTCGGTCGTCGGTCGGTAATGAGTTGTACGCCATTTTGCGCTAAATTGTTTGGCGTTGGCGAGTGCCTGATAACAATATTTGCACTAATTTGGCATTTTTAAGTGTGCTCCACTGACACTTGATGCGCTTTTAATTGCGCCCGGGCGCTCGAGAGGTGCTTCTGTCGAGGAGGAGCAGGACGAGGATGCCAGCAGGAACAGGAGGATGCCAGGCGGCCAGCACTCTGCTGCTGTTGCTGCTGTTGCGGTGGGTGCTGTCTGTCCTGTCCCCCCCCTGTCTGTCTTCTTGTGGCTCTCCTCCTGCGGTTGCCTTACCAACTTTCTACGTTGTTGCATCCGCATCGGCATGCTTCTCGTTCTGGCTCTGGCTCTGGCTCTGACTCTGGCCCTGGCATGTGGCAAGAAATGTGAAAGATAAACGATTCATTAGTTGCAGAAGCAGGCAGCCACTGAGGCACTTTCTGTTGTGTGCACCTGCAGCCCCCCCACACAAGGACGAAGCCTCGATGTCTCTGCCGAGAGACAATAAAAGTTTCTCCAACTGGCGCCCGTTTTTATTACAATTACAGTTGAAATCTCTTGCTCCGATGTCATCCTTTTGCCCCAGCCTCTCACGCTTCTCGTTTTCCGTTTCTCCTTCCAGTACGACACACCCGACTGCTCTTCTGGAACTAGGGACAGTGGCAACATGCGCGCCTTGAGCGGCCTTGAGTCCGGTTCCGCGGACCTGCTGCAAAAGCACTCGACGATCAACTCTCTGCTCGAACACCACCAACAGCAGCAGCATCAACAGCAGCAGCAGCTGCAGCTGCAACACCACCAGAAGCAACAGCAACAACTGAAGCAGCAACAGCAGCAGCTACAGCCACACGATCTGCTGGGCAGACGAAGCACCGACGATGGACTGATATCATTCATAAACGGTACGATACGATATTTGGCGTCAGTTCTAACATATATTTTCTGGGGGTTTTCAGTGTGATTTATAAGACTTAAACTAAGATTTCCACTCTTGTAAGCCGAAAGGTATTTCATTCTTCAAAAAACCATTTTCCAGATCACAAAAAGGAACGTAAGTATTGAAAATGATAATGTTGCTTGAAAGCAACAAAACTCCAATCACCAATGGTCTTTCGGTCTTTAATAAGCAATGGACTCAATCGAAAACATTTTGGTTGAGTAGAAAGTGGGTGTGTTCATGAATTTATTGGTAAACAATATGGTCTGAAATTCATTCTTCATCATTCATTCGCTCCATCACGGGACATTGGCTAATAGGCGGCCAAAAATTTCGAAGGGAAGCGTTTCCAAGTGTTTCAGTTGCCCTGGAGAGCCTATCAGCCGCCTCTGCCTTTAAACAGCCTGCATTCAATCCATCCTAACGAAGATTTAGCTTTCACAGCTCCCCTGGAACCTGAGCCAACCATTGACGTCGAAAATGAGTTCCACTATGAGGAGATCTGCCCCCGAGCCTAACCTTAGATCGATGTGCTCCTGCAGGCGGAAAGAAGTACCCATTCTGTACTCTAATAAAAAACAATCGAAACGTTTTTGTCGAGGCACACGAGAGTCCCGTTCTACCGGTTGTGTGGCATACATTTGCCCGAATTATATATGTAGAATCTATGATGAAATGAGTAAAAAATCCATGCTTCAAAGATCATTTTCGTTTATCTGAAAATCTGTACATATGTAGGAGGGGGGGAAACTCCTATAACTTTCGTTTTCCTGTCAGTCAGTCGTGTATATATATGGGATATATAGAAGAGAGCTCAATCGTTTTTTACTTTTAGGAGCCGGCACACACAAAACATTTTCAACATTTATTTAGTATATATCGTTATTGTTGTAAAGAAGATATTTTTTGTTTGTTTTTCAAGTCATTTCAAATTTGCATCCGCGTTACAATTTTGGTTACAAATTATTATCCTCCGATCAAACGGCGGAAGCGCAAAGAATAAATTTTAAAGTAGCCACCAAAAAATTTTAAATATAAAATCCACCAAATTTGTCTCTCGTACACACACACACACACCCGCACAAGTGCCGTGCCACACACACACACGCACACGCACACACACCACGACACACGTGCCACACACAAGTCTGAGTCTGCCAGAAAGATCGCGGTTTGGAGGTCGGAGCACACCCGAAAATCGGTTCCCGGTGTTCACGTCCGCGAAAAGGAGTCGCGGGTATGGGGGGCATCGGGGAGCTGTTCATCAGACAGAAGCCATTGATGGAGCCCACGCTGGACCGCCACTCGTTCGTTCACCAGTCGCCGTTCGTGGACGATGTTGGAGACTTTATACCAAGCAGCGAGGAGACAGGCTGCCCCACCAGCAGCAGCAGCAGTTCGGGGGACTGTAACATCGTCAGTAGCGACATCAACAGCAGCAGCGACTGCAGCAGCAGCAACATCAGCAGCAGCAATCGAAATACTGGAGGCAACAACATCAGTATCATCATTGAGGAGGACCTTGGCATGATGGCGGCCGGGGATGGAGACCAGAACTTGGCTTCCAAAAGCAGCAGTCACGACAGCAGCAGCGGCAGCAGCGACAGCAGCAGCAGCAGCAACACAAATAGCAATAGCAAGGACTGCAGTAAGTTTGGGGGTCCTGCCAAAATGCCAAAAACGAAAGGACCCAACCATCGAGCGACCATCGAAGGAGCCAACACATATTTACGCTTAATTTATTAGCAGTTTTTGAATATTTGCAAAGTGCTTGAGGAGGCAATAGTTTTTGATTTATCGAGGGCCTGCGCAAACTTGTAGATAATTGTTGACCATACACTGCATCGGCATTCTTCATACTCTTTCCAGATCCCATCACACTCAGCGATCTACTGGGACTTTGCAGCACCACAACTGGAGGAACTGGAAGTGGAGTGGGAGCTGGAATGGGATTGGTTGCAGGCACAGGAGCGGGAGCCTTAGACGGAGGAGGAGGAGGCGGAGGATTGGCCACTGCCCAAGCCAGCAATCAGAAACAGAATCAAAACCAGAGCCAGAACCAGATCCAGAGCAACGGAGACAACGGCATCAGCAGTGGCAGCACGAATCGTCTGAATGCCGCTACTACTGCCGTTGCCGCCGCCTCTGGCGATGGTGTGGGCGTTGGCGTTGGTGTCCAACTGTCGGCCAATGCGGCCATCTACTCCCCCCTGACGCCCAGCTCCACGCAATCCTCGGCCTCGCCAGGCACCACCAAGTCGAATTTCGACTACTTTCAGGTAAATCTTTGGCCAATGTTCCTCTGAATAGTACACGAATAGTATCGAATCCAATCGATTGATGCCTGAACTTTTGCGAGTGTTCTCTCTTTAGGAGGCTCAAACCCTTTTTCTAATAATTGCACTCAATTTGCACCGATTTCTAGTAACTTTTTGCTTGTATCTACATATTGTAACCCTTCCCCCCTGTGTGTCTGTCTTCCCCCCTCTTAATATATAGCTCTCTGTGTCCCTCTATATCTCGCTCCCTTTGTATATCTTTCTCTCTCTCTACCTCTCTCTGTCTCTGTGTGTGTTCGACTATGTCTTGTCTAAAATACCCTTGCAGAGAGCATTACAACTTTGCCATCGACTAGGCCAAATATTAGATTTGAAATGGAAGAAAGGAAGAAATTCGGAATGCTTTTTCTTAGGATATCAGAGAATGCTGGCAGAAAATGTTAAAATTTGTATACAAAAATCAAGAATCATCTTAAATCCTACCATTCCGTGTATAGTTTTGTCTGCTTTTATGGAAATTTTGCAAGATTTGGCCTCAAAGTCGCTATTCCATAGAAAATACATGACGATAGACAATTTGTAGTGTAGGAATCTTTAGTATTCCTGTATTTTTTCCAACAAATACAAATTAAATGCTTTCAAATAGGGCATAATTTCTATAAACTCGAACATCTATATCCCTTATCCTATGGTTTCCAATGATACAATCGTTCTACAGGGGTCACCCTTCCATTAGCCGCAAGGGTCTCAGTTTGTGTCTGTTTGCTTATGGGAACATTGTACAGCTTATAAGGCTGATTCGAAGAATGGGACTATTGGCAGGGTATTAGTAGGGTACGAATATCTCTTGTATCTCTCTTGCAAGGTATTTCGGCTTCGTTCTTGAGACGAAGATAAATTGAACCGTTTAACTGTTTACCGTTTGACCATTTGACCGTTTCCTTTCCTCATTTTTAATTTATTTGATTTCCATATTCTTTATCTTTTTATATGTCTGAATTGTTGGTTGGAATTGGCGAAAAACAATAACAATTAAACAATAGTTTGAAAATGTTGCACAAAGTAACCCACTTAAGGCTTTCCAAAGAACAAACATCAGCTTCGATTGCTCTGCACCTTTATCGCCAAGTACGCCTTCATCTATTTACAATCGCTCCTTTCACAGTTCACCTTTGGTCAGGTAATGCTATACTCGTAAGCGGCACTGCACCACAACTGCACCCGCCTTCTACAATATATCGTGTGGAATATATTCTGGAACTAACCTTGAGCCTGTGCTTCCTTCTTTCTTTGCTGCCCCTGCAGCGACAGCAGCAATTCCTCCAGCGGCAACGGCCTGTCAACAGACTCGATCAACATGCTCTACCAGCAGCAGCGCCAGGAGCCGCAGGGCTTCTCAGGCAGCGGCCTGGGACTGAACCTCCAGAATGCCTCCACGCGCTCCAACACGCCCGAGAGCCAGAACAGCAACCAGTCGATCAATGAACCCAATCTACTGGACATGATTGTGGGTGTCTTAACATTCTAAGGGAAATCGAATCTGTTCTCATTTGTCTGATTCTTTCAGAACCTGCTGTCTGTGAATAGCAACCGACTGGCAACCATGCAGCAGCAGCAGCACCACCAGCAGCAGCAGCAGCTCCACCAGCAACAGCAGGTCCAGCAGCAGCTGCAGCAGCAGTACGCGAACCTCAACAGGAACTACGAGCAGCAGCTGTCCGGCAATGGGAGCCAGCACAATTTCGACCTGAACGGAGACCTCAATCAGTGCGGACTGGATAACTTTGCCAGCGTGGACATGGAGCTGGCAAAACTGCAGAATCTGCAGCGCATCAACACGCTGAAACTGCTGCAGGCACAGACGCAGCAGATGCCGCTGCTCAGTCAGCTGCTGCAGAGCTATGCCGGGAACATTCCTGCTGCGACCAATGCAGCCAGCAGCCTGACCAATCTCGGAGGAGCGGCGAATGGATTTGGGCCCAACCTCACGGGGCAGGACGTTGGCAGTACCAACGATGGGCATCTGGATCGCGTGGCCAAGTTCCATAGGAGCTCCGCGGCCCTGTACGATGCCACCTGCACCTGGAGCGGACAGTTGCCGCCACGATCGCACCGAATGCTCAACTATTCCCCAAAGGTCTTCCTGGGCGGCATACCCTGGGACATCAGTGAACAGTCGCTCATTCAGATATTCAAGCCATTCGGCTCTATCAAGTGAGGACAAGAACAACCATTTCCCCCTTCGATGGGTCTTAATTTCTCTGTTTATTCTGTGCAGAGTGGAATGGCCTGGCAAGGAGCAGCAGGCTGCACAGCCCAAAGGCTATGTCTACATCATCTTTGAGTCGGACAAACAGGTGAAGGCCTTGCTCTCGGCCTGCGTGGTCCAAATGGACGATGCGCACAGCGGCAGCAACTACTACTTTAAGATCTCATCGCGTCGCATCAAGTCCAAGGATGTGAGTGGAAACCATCTAGACACCTAGACTCGTCTTCAATTTCTGTTTTACGTTTCGCAGGTTGAGGTCATTCCCTGGATCATAGCCGACTCAAATTTTGTGCGCTCTAGCTCCCAGAAGTTGGACCCCACAAAGACCGTTTTCGTGGGCGCCCTACATGGAAAACTGACTGCAGAGGGCCTGGGCAAAATCATGGACGATCTCTTCGATGGGGTGCTGTATGCGGGCATCGACACGGACAAGTACAAGTATCCGATTGGGTCGGGACGAGTGACTTTCAGCAACTTTCGCTCCTACATGAAGGCCGTTTCGGCCGCCTTCATCGAGATACGCACCACGAAGTTCACCAAGAAGGTGCAGGTGGATCCGTACTTGGAGGATGCCTTGTGCTCGATATGCGGCGTGCAGCATGGCCCCTACTATTGTCGGGAGCTCTCCTGCTTCCGGTGAGGGCTTCATTCGGAGATTGTATACAGAATCACACTAAAGATAACTCTTTTTGCAGATACTTTTGTCGCAGTTGCTGGCAATGGCAGCACAGCTGTGACATTGTGAAGAACCACAAGCCCTTGACGCGCAACAGCAAGTCGCAGGCTCTGGTGGGCATTGGCCCCGCCTCGTCGACAGTCTCGCTGGCTTCCTCCAATCACAGCAACACCAATGCAGAGCACAAGATGCCGCAGCAGCAACATAACCATCACCATCATCATCAACAGCTGCATCACAACCAGAGCCACCACAACCTCCACCAGCAGCAGCAACAACAGCAGAAGCATCACCAGGTCAATCATCATGGCAATCTTCATCAGTCGCAGTCGCAGTCCGGAGGAGGAGGCTATGGGCTCCTGGGCAATGCTGGAGCCGCCGCCAATGCCACGGCCACTTCGTTGTACAACTTCCAGCAGCAGCAGCTCCAGCAACAGCAGCAACACCAGGCGATCTAAAGACATCCTCCCATCTTTTAAGCGTACCGTTTTAACGTGCTTCCGATACAGCGTTGAGCGTAGATCGCAAGCAGAGAACAGCGCACTCATTGCAAACGACACGGACAGAGATACAGAGTTTTATTGATGTGTATAAATATATATGTAGAACAACGGTACGAAGTATGAAGTATACGATTATACGCGTTGATATCCCCCTTAAATCTTAAGGCTTAAGGTCCCTTAGTGTCCCCCTCTTCGGACACCCAAACACACCTCCAAACAAGACACAGACACTCACTCTACACACACTACTACTTTTTGTACTATTTCTTTGATAATCATGCTTACATATCAAACAGCATTTGGATCAATCGATTCTTGAGCGATGAAATGAGCGATTTCATTTACCCATCATAATATCAATCAAGCCACAACACTATAATTGTTACTTTTTGGCTAAGAAAGCTTTTCTAAACCTATTCTATATTTGGTAATTGTCTAATTTTAAGCTAACGAGAGAGGGCGCGGAGGCTGGATCGAGAATCAGGACTAGCTTCCCGCCCGCCCGCGAGATTGGAGAATCTCTTTTTTGTTATTGTTTATTTTTTTTTTTTTGCGCTATTATTGAGGAATTTTATGTGGTTTCTTTTTACATAGCCAAGGCCCATACATATATCCAATATATATATATTTATGGACTGTCCGTTGAGCGTTAATCTGTCAGGGAATTTCAATTTTTAGAAGCATTTTTAAAAATTGTAAATTCATCTACATTTTGCCCACCCCCCTCAAACACCCTCATTTCTGTCATTTATTGAATTTTTTGTTACACTTGAGTTTTTTTGATTTACGAGATTTTTTTGTTCAGTTTTTTTTTTTTTTTGTTATTTTGAATTAGTTTTAAGCACACAAACACACACAAACAGTTACGCGCGATGCCTGATCGATTGTTGAACTTTGTTTTAAGGGAACTTTAAGAATATCATTATCTTGCTTTTGGCTTTTTTGGCTGTTCCAGTTTTAGAGCGCCACATATCATGGCGCTATAAGCTTATTATCTCTATGTCTTACATTATTTTTCATGTATTTTGAGAAAGGATCTCCAGTGCTTTAACCACTTATTATCTATATACCTATACACACATCACGTATGTAGCCACGAAACAAACACACTCTAATCTTAACAATGCTTTAATTTAATTCATTTTTTTGTACACTTCTATTAGAACAAAAAAAAAAAAACGAAACGATCACACACAAACACACGTATTCACAAATATATAACACAATATTGCCTTTTCCAACTATTTGATTTTCTATTTTTCATTTAGCACACACTTACGCCCAGCCTAACCATCTTAACACTAACCTTTTCAAAGCTTTCCCAGCAGATTGCTACTCCTAAGAATCCCCAAAAGTCAAGAAGAAAGAAAGAAACATACTAGTCGTAATATCAAAAGTTAAATTCAAACGAATTTAAGCATAAAAACAATCAAATTACTTTACCACGAAAAAAAAACTGAACGAAACTAAACACTGGTGTCTGGCGACTGTCACACAGCGCGGTGACTGTACGTACTCTTGACTGACAGCTGTCAGCGCATGCTGTTCTCTGTCGATTTTTAACGAAAGCACACCATGCACTCTAGACTCTACTCTAGGCCTTAATTGATTTTAGCATTATTTCAAGACACCATACACTCCACACACGATACGATACGACACGACACGACATGCATTAAGAAGAACCTACAGGGATTTTATGGTAGAAAAAAAAAAACATACATGAAACCAAATAATTATATTATATTAATACCAAAAAGAGCGAATGTTGAGCGACTGCTGCTCTGCAGAATAGTTAAATTTGTTTAGTTTTTAATATATCGATTTGCAAAGAGATAAGCAATTTTTAATTAACAAATACGAGGAGAGAAATGTAGGAGTATGAAGAATGGAATGCGGGTCTAGGGTAACCATGGATGCCTCTTAGTGTAACGGTTTCTGTTGTAGCGCCTCTACCTACAAAAAGTCTTAGTTTCCTTTGCCTCTAGGGATCGCCCCACACAGATCCCGATGCAAGCCAAAGAGTGTATAAGAGCAATAAACCCAAAACATAAGGAACGAAATGAATGCTAAACAAGTGCATTGTTACTAACCATTTACCCCATAAATAAATACCTATCTATATACAATAAACACACATACACACAAGACAACTTACTATACATACTATACATAATGTATAATGCCTTCGATAAGGATAAGGAACGATTAAGGACTAAGGAGAATGGATTAAGGAGCCAATCCCAAGCAAATCACCCACTTAAATCGCTTTAATGCCAACCACAAATCAAAAACAAAAGCTTATTGACTACTTTTAAATGCAGTTTACATTATATTGTACTACGATGCAAGTATATTCTACATATATGTACATCCTATACCTATACCAAAAGCCTACATCTACACCTACACTTAGCTATAGATCATACGAATAGTTTGTAAATCAGGATATCAGGGCGGTGGCGGTGGACAGAAAAGAGTTGAACATTTCGCGGGAATTAACCTTAACCTATATACAATACACAATACCTACAAAATATATAATGAAGGATAAAACTGAAGAATGGTTTATAGTATATATTTTAAATCTGAAAGTTGAATGAATCACAAATACCCTGTAATACTTAAGCTAGACAAACTGTAAAGATAAAATGGTGCTTTAGCTGAATTATTAATAATTGTAAGACTTACCTTGGAGGGGGAGCTTCAGTCAGTAGTTGCCCCTCGCTCATTGGATGGATGGATTCTTTTTAAATTACATTTTTTAGCCTCTTTTTATTCAAACATACCCAATCATCTATCGGATGTGACGTGTTTTTAGCTCAAGCTTTGAATTTTCAGATACAACATACAAAAACATACAGGCAACAATCACACACACACACACACACACACACACACTCGAAACTCGAACACTTGCATACATATTCGTGAAACAATTTTAAATATCTATCTAAATTTACGATACTTTTTACTCACCAAAGAAGAAAAGGAACAACTTTTAATGGAACATTTTAAGGCTATTTCGGCCAGAAGCAATTGGCGCACTCAATCTCGATCGATCGTATGTTAAATCAGTTTTACTTTAAAGTTTTTAACGCTTTTACAAGCTAAACAAACAAACAAGAAACAAAAAACGAGAATTTTAAATTTAATCTACAAACATTTTAAACTTTTTCGCACTGGCTTTCCATCTAATTTAAAAAGGAAGACGTTTTATTTTCAAACGAAAAAGAAAAGTAAGAAACTTCATGTATCAATAAAACACACACACACACAAGAAAAAAGACAAATTAATATTTAAACGAAATGTAAAGGAACCAAAATCGAACGCTTCCCACGCAAAACCGATAATATTAAATTTTAGCAAAGTAAAAGTAAAAATGAAATAATTAAGGAGATTATGCAAAGCGAAATTAGACAACAATAAAACCTTAATTAACAATCCAACAAATACTATATAGGACAGATATATATATATATATATATGTATATTTTACAGACACAAGACATCCGCTTACCTACTATACACCCATTAAATTTAAGCCTCCTACGAGTAAATACATTTTTTTTGTAAGCTCAAGGTGAAAGAATCCGAAAATCCGATGGAAGGAATATCTCTAATCTTATGCCGATATCTCTACCTACACAAACACACACGCACACACACTAACACTCTCACACGCATTAACTATACTGTAACCTATACCGTAATCTCTACTAAAACTACAGCTCTCTATACTAATCGATGCCCTTATACTATATATAGCGGATATTTTTACTATCGTATTACCGATTGATGATTGATCATCTGGTATTCAAAGACACCCGCATACACACACACACACACACACACACACAAGAGACACACAAAAAAAACCACACAAGCGAACATGTGAGACACATTTTGGGGGAACATAAATGCAAAAACTTTGCAAATTGAATTTTAAACAGTAGCACACGGTATTTGCTCGGCAAATGTGTTACAGCTAGGCGATAAGGATAAGAATGCAATAAGAACGGTTTTTAAAAAGACTATTATACAACCTATATACGAGTATATTATATATACACAAATGAAATGAAAAGAAATCCGAGGAATAAGAGTATATAGTATAATATCGACATACAGAAATTTCAGAACGGAATACTAAGCTTTTAATGCAATACAAATAATCAAATACCACATACAATATAGTATATATACACACACAGCATACATACATAAATATATGAATATATTTTAGTAATACTTGAAGAACAACAAAGAGAGACGATACCAATACGAATACGAATCTGTGCGTTTGAATCCGTATTAATATACACTGTTGTTATAGCAAGCAGAATCAGAAGAGGATTTAGAAGAATATTTAGTACTGGGTCGTCGTCGTCGCCCAGAGGGATCCACCTACATAAGGGTGCTCGCCAAGGGGTGGTGTCAGGGGCGACGACCCAACTAATTGATTTTCCCACCTTATATAGGAATATAAACAAACAAAAAATTACTGCAGTGCCATTTTAAATAGCTTCCGATAAGTATAAATATACATATACCTATATTATAGTATACATATATATATATATATATATATATATATATAGAAAAGCAAGACATACACATACGTACATACCTAGTATATGCAATATACATAAATAAATACATCATATACATAGTTATATATATATATTGTATACCTATTTATGTACTAAAACCTATTACCTATATATTGTTATGAGCAAAAGTTCAAATTGCATTATGGTTATAACAAATACACACACCCATACACTCATTCAGTCATTCACCTAGATACACACACACACACACAGCTACAAAAAAGCAAATGGAACAAAGTTGAACATTTTTTGAGGCTTTTTTTTGTATACGAAATGCAAAAAAGAAATAGAACGAAAGGGGGAATAAATAATACTACAAATATTAACAATAATAAATGCATAACCGTACAACTCCTGTAGCTAGGTATATTATTGAAGAATTAACAAATCCACAACAACAACAACAAAAATATCTCTATTTATATCAGACTAACGAGAATTTTAATGATACGCGCTAATACGGGATGGGGCTATAATACAGGTCTCCCCATTAATATTTCATA